CATTATAATTTATAATAAAATGTAATAAATGATTAATAGTGCTGTAAAGTAACGTCGCTAATAACTTAGTAAACTTTTTTGAAGAAAAGGAACGCCATTCGTTACCTTCTTCTAGAAATAATGAGTAACGGTAACGCATTTCTTTTTCTTTATGTTACTATAAATTTTTTCTTTAAAAATATTAAAAAAGGAAAAACATATTTTATTGACTATAAAATTACTTTTATTTATTTTATAATATAAATAATTTAAGCCGATTTTTAATTCATAGAAAGCACCATTCCTTCATTTTTATTTTAAATTCTCTTAAATTTTCATTCAATCAAAATTCAAAGTAAATGTCAGAGCAATATTATTATTTATTTTAAGACTATTATGTTCATAGTACTTACTAATTCTATGAATTAGTTTTTTATTTGTAATTGAAGAATTACAACCATTTTCAATTGTAGAAAGCACTGCATTTATTAATATTATCGAAAAATTGCAGCCAACCAAAAATGTGAAGTATAGGTCAACCCTCGTATAAAAAATTAACAAAGAATATGACACCATGGCAAAGAAATTAATGGATGTATGTGTATCCAAAAAATTGATTGTACAACTGTGGATTCTTGGTCAGCTTATCATCGCATATAAAATATATAATTTATAAATTGACAATATATTCTTTTAAAAAAGTTCGTATTTAAGGATGATACTCTTGAGGATTTCAGCCTGCTTAGCTTGTAAAAGACTAAATCAAAAACACATATTTGATTATCTAGCAAAAATAATCTCTGAAATTTTTACCACATATAAGACACTAAATAAAATGACCAAATGCATTACTGACAATGCTAGAAATTATATAAAATCTTTCACGTAAAAAATATAATATATTTATTAAAAATTTATTAGAGTATATGAACAAGGAGAGGAATCGAATGATGAAATAGTTCCTCTTTCATTATTTGATCTATTTGAAAATCAAAATACTAATGATAGTATTGTATACTTACCTAAGCATCATTCCTGTTAAGCACATATTTTAAATCTCATTGCAAGTGTTGACATTGAAAAGGCAGATAACGATAACCATTTTAAAACTATTTCAAAAATTACATTTTCTAAGTGTAAGTTATTGTGGAATAAACATGGAAATCTTCAAATTGTGCAACCAGTTTTAAAGGAAAACATGAGAAGATATCTGATTAAACCGGTTATAACAAGATGGAACTCTTTTTATAACTCCGTGAAATTAATAGAGTCTTATTAAGGAGAATTGCCAAAAATTTAACGAATCTTGTGATAAATCTGAATTAGAGAGAGTTTCAGATAACGACAAGTCGTTCATGGATGAATATTGTATGGTTATTGTTAATTAAGAAATATGATATGTGTATATATATATATGGCTTTGAATAATTTCTAGTTTTGTAAGTCGCTTTTTAATTCAATCCTGAAAGGCATAGATAAAAGGTATACAGTTCAAATATTGCTTACAATTTATATTTTGATTATCTTTTATTTTCAATAGATTCAAACACATCTATAACTATGAATATATACGATTCGCAATAATTCACCCAATATTTAAATTGGTTTGGCCCTGGATAAAATTAGAGGTCAACAAAGGAAGAATTCTAGAACTTATTTCCAGTTTGGTCTTGATAAAGAAGGAGCAAACTTAATTCCTTTGTCCAACACAAATACCAGAATAATTTTTGATAAAGTTAAATTTTTTTTTGATGAGGAAATGAATGAAGATTCTTGTGAAGATGATCTATTAGAAAGATAATTTTTAAAATATATTTAATAAATTCTCCGAATTAAAATATAATACAACTCTCCCATCCTCTGCGCCAACTGAACATGTGTTTAACAAGGCGAAGCTGTGTTGAGCACTAAGCGCTCTTGTTTGTCTGATCAAAATTTTGAAAATCAATAATTGTTACAAAAAGATGTTATCCTATTTTAAAGTAATGAGTAACCCGTTACTTTTTTGAATAAGCAGTAACGCGCGTTCCTTTTTTAAAAAGGTAACGAGTAACGGTAACAGTAACGCGTTCCTTTTTTCAGACATAACGTGTAACGCTAAAGCGTTTTTTTTGTAACTACAGCACTAATGATTAATGATTATCAATAACTGGATGGTGAAAATATAACTTAAATAATACAATTATTACTATTCTCTAATCTTGAGAATGAATTATAAAAAATAAACTTAAATTATAAATAATTGTGATTAATTAAGATGAAGAACAAAGAATATTTTAAATTTATGATAGATAAAATATAACTAAAATTTATATTTTTCTTTCACGACCTCTATTTCGACTTCGTGTTCTGGGTAATTTTATCATTCCATTTTTTATCAACCCATATTTATGGACAATTCATCCCCCTTTCACCCTTCTTATTCCATTGATCATTCATTTATCCTCCACTCTCCTCTTCTTTCCCTTTAACTCTTTTCACCCTTTTCCAATTTGAATAATTTCAATATTCGAGTCGTTCTTCTATGAATACTCCATTGTACCTCTCGTCATAGTCATTTACTACTTTATTTTCTTATTCAATTTGAATCCTTCAAGTTGAATACTTCTTTGAATTATTAGCCGAATCATGTTATTTAGCCAACGCTCAATTCAATTTGTCTAACTCTCCTAAATCAAATATTTCAATTTCATATTTTGACTCTTACGATTATACTTATATTCACAAAATTCCGGATCGAATTTGATTATGAATTAATTTAATTTTTCATAATCCGTCATTGATTTAACCTCTTAATTAATTTCTTCCTTTCTTATTCTCTTCTCCTTAATTGCTCCTCAAGCCTGGCCATACTAACTTCATTAACCAATACTAATATGTTCTACTGTTACTTTATTTATAATTCCTTTCACCCATCTATTTAATCTTAAACATTTTTACCCATACTGCTTGACCTTCCACAAATAGTGTTAAACCTTTTGTCTCTCCGTTCCATATAGCCTTCTTTAATGTATCTAAAAATAATTTTGTTCTCCTTCCTAAAAAACATAACGGATGGTGTACGGCCTGTATCATTTATACTATTATTATAATACAACTACAAAATACATATTTCTTTCCCTTATTTTCTCGACTTCTTTAACCACGATTTAACTAACCTTAGCATCCGTTTCGCCTGCCCATTGGAACTTGGATGGTTTGGTGGTGATAAAATGTGTCTAATAGTGCGCACAAATTAAAAGTTTCAATTCGTTTAAATTGAACAGAACTTTTTTTTGTTTTAAATTTAGATTTCATAAAAAACAAAAAATTAGCGGTTCAATTTAAACATAGTTACGTTTACCTTTTGAAATGCTGCGTTGAAACGTTCAATTTGTGTGCACTATTATAATACCTAAACTTTTCACTTATAAATGCTGGCCCTCCGTCTGATGCTAATGCTTTTATTAACCCGTATCTACCCATTCATAAGACTAATCTTTTGATGATTATCTCACTCGTTAACCCAGTATCATTTTCGTTTTTTCCATATATTTCGAAAAAAATCTATATACTCTTTCTCCTGGACCTACTGACGACCCTTTTATTATGTTTCACATCTTCTACTTAATTTTATCTCCTCATTCATTCCTGGCTACCATACACATTCCCTTCCTAATATTTTCATCTAGGAAGGGCAGAGAGAATTATCTACCATATGATGGCAATAGTAGAGGATAAGGAATAAAATAAGGAGGGAATACAAGTATTATGAATAACCCAATTATAAAGATAGCCAGAGTAATCCAAAATAAAAGATTAACATGGGAAGATATAAGAGAAGAGAGGTTAAAAGATAGAGAAATGGGTAGGGTAAAAAGAGTTTAACGGGGAAAGAGAAAATGAGAAGAAGAATAGAGAATGATTATAAGGGGAAGAAGATTAGTAATTCCCAATAAATTGGGGGAAAAGATATTGGAATTATTACACGTAGAACATCAGGGGATAGCAAGGATGAAAATATTAGAAAGGGAATATGTATGGTAGCCAGGAATGAACGAGGAGATAGAAAGGTTAAGAGAAAATGTGAACCATGTACGTAATAAAAGGGTCAAAATGCCAATAATAAAGAATAAGGGTAATCGAGAACCGTCAGAAGGTCCAGGAGAGAGAGTACATGATTTTTTCGAAATATATGGAAAAAAACTTTATAATTATAGCAGATGAATTTTCAAAATGGATAGAATGGGAAAATGTTATAAATACATGTAAAAAAATAAATATATAAAATCATAAAAAAACTAAAAAAATTGAGTTAGTCCACTCAAGTGGGAGTCTATCGACTAGAAACTAGGCCGTTTAACAACACTAGTGGCGATGTAGACCAAAGGATTCCTTGTAGAAAAAATTTGAGTTTATATGGAAATCGATTTCCAAAAATGTATATCAGATTCTTAATTCAATGCCACAAGGAATAGTAGAAGTTGTAAAGGTAGATATAAAAAAATTTAATATTGCTGGGAGAAAATATGATATTTTAGCATAGTAAGGCGATATTTTGAAAAGACACATAATAAATAATTATTTAAATAAAAAGATTTTTTAAAATTACATATTGCTACATTATAATGTTAAAGGTTTAAAAATATTCAAAATTATTATTTAAATAAGCTAAAAAAAACTAATAAGAGGGCAGTATAGGCATATATAACTGATAAAATTGTGATTTGGAATTTATTCAACTCTGGTCAAATTTAAATTAAAAAAAGAGATTTTGTAATGCTCTCAAAATAAAAAACCTTCAAAGATTTTAATTTTTCAAGATTTTTTAAAAGAAAATTTTTCGAGAATGCTCAAACATATTTTTTGATCAAATCTTGTATAAAACTCCAAATCTTTTGTAAAAAATATTTAAAAAAAGATTTTATAGGTAATCTTTTGTGATTATTACAATAAAAAATCTTTCATGATGAATGAAATCACAAATTTTTTCCTGAAAATAAATATCAGAGAACATCTTAAAATCATGTATGGTAATTTACATTTCGTTGATGATCGTTGGGGTGGATTGTTGCGAATAAATATTTGATAGAATAAATTGAACCCAAAATCTGATCCAATCGTTACGATCCAAATCTCCGCCTGTAGCATACAAAATAAAAACGCTTTATAAAAATCAAGGTAATAATATTGTAAAACAGCAGCCAAGTTAGAAAAACTAAATTCATTCAGTTATCATATCTACTATCAGTTATTAACTTTTCGTTTATATGATATATATAATATCTCTTAACATTGTTATATAAGTAGTGTTCCTAAATGGCTCGATTTGAGTCGATTTTTACAAACGGCTAATTCAATATTTGTCCGGGAAAATATTAGGCAAGCCTAATAATTTTTCTCATAGATGGCACAAAGGTTTACAGATCTATTAGCGAAATCTCACTAAAATATTGCCTAAGCCGTTTTTAAAAATCGGCTCAAAAAGAGCCGTTTAACAACATTATTTATAAGCATGAAAAACCTGATGACGAAGATGAATGAAAGCAGAGGTCCTCAAATTGTTTCATGTTTAAAAATTGTGCAAGTCCAACCTGGCATCCAAAAATATCGTCTTTACCACCAGGCTTACGACTATAATTAAAAGGAAAATTAATTTAATTTAAAATGTATTTTTTTTAGCTTTGAATGAGAAACATATATTAATTAAATATTATTTAATCAAAATAATAAGTGACTTAGATATATTAATAATTAAAAAGAGAGAAAATTATGAGAAACACAATTGGGTCCCTAAAAAAGAAAATTCCCTGAGTTTAAGGTTTATACTGTTAGGATATATATAAAACGATCTATAAAATAAATCCATATTCATTTATGATCGAAGTAAGGTCCAATACAAATAATATAGTTCTTAAGATTTTACATTTTTCGGTCTTATAAACGATATAACAAAAAAATATAAATTACGAATTCGATGATGAATCCAATTTAGAGGAAGTGATATCCCAGCTAAAAAGACCAGCGAAACTATAATTGGATATCAAAGCATCGTTAAGAGGAGGTAATAGCGGGGTCTATCAAAAAGTTGCAAGGACAAATAAATTATGTTATAATGTATATTAATTAGAGAAATATAAAAATTTGTATTTTGCTATTTTAATATTTGGTCAAAATTTATAAATTTAATTAAACAAGGTAAAAAACTAACACCTTAAACGTAAACGGAGTAAATAAGTTCGTCAAACGAATATTAATGATTTATCAAATAACACTTTCATTATGTAAATAAATATTTAAATAAATCTTATATAAAATAAAAAATAGCAAGATACCCAGCCATCATATGGCATAAATATTTAAGAACCTATCAACTATTTCTCAGAAAAGTTAATATTAGGTAGTGTTGTTAAACGACCTGATTAGGTCAATTTTTAAAAAAGGTTCGATTAATTTAGCTAAAATAATATTATACAAGCCTCGAAGAATAGGGAAATAGATGTCCAACCTTCCTCTATAAGCTAAATCTCTAGGCTAACATAATATTATTTTGGCTAAAATCTTAATCGGGTCATTTAAGATTTTTAGATATATTATTGTTAAAAAAACTAAGAACATATTGAATAATGTAAGTATCTTGTTTTAATATATCCTTAATGAATTCATATTTGATCATTTATCCATCATTTCATTTTTATGATAATTATAACTCTAAATTTCTATAAGAACCAGTACCAATATCCTTAATAGTATTTATTTTTGCTAAAACTATAAAAGAATATACTCGAGACAATAAACGATGACTAAGTTTATTGGAGGAGCAAAGGATAAAAGAGTCCGAAGAACTTCGACCAAGAGGGATATGTTGAAGATCGTCTAGTTGATAAAATATATATTTAAACAAAGTAAAATAAATCCTAGAAATAGTAAAAAAAACAATAAAATCCCTATTATGGACAAACAAGTAAGAGCATTAATTAAGTTAGAAGAAAAGATAATCATTTTTTAACCACAGACAATCGTTTACCATTAGTTTGGTTTAGAGATATAGCAGCGTAATTATCTGTAGCACCATTTAGCTTGGATATTCTCACCTAAATGAAAATATAATTAAATCTTGTTAATAAATGTTTTGTTGAAATGAGAAAATTACTTAGTTATGATTGTTTTGCATTCGAAGTATTTTAATTTATAAAAAATAGAAAATAAATTTAAAAATTATCTTACATTTTATTTAGTTTATAATGAAATCTTATTTAGCGATTATATCGTGATTAAAAATGTCCATTTGAACTACAAATTTCATGCAAAGTGAATTCTAAACATATAATTTATAAACTAATTCAACAACTTCACATCTATTCTCGATCATATATTTAAAGGACAAGTAGAGAAAAAATTGAACAATTTTAAAGTAAATTATTTATATTCAATTTTCAAATGAATTTATATATAAAACCAATCAATCACAAAATTTGAATTAAAAAAATATATAGATTACGATTGATACTTTGATTAGATCTTCACTTTCAGTCAATTTAATAGAAATAATTATAAAAATACTATAGGCTTGAAAACTATTAAATTTGTGAGATATCAAAACCATTTTATATTCAATTATATTTAATTCCTAAAAAAACAAAATAATATTTTAAAATTTACAGATGCAACATTAATCAAGAAAAATTAAACTTTTAGCTTTTAGGGGATCTTTATCCTTCTTATTCAAACTCAATTTTCAACTATGAGGTCATACTAAATGACAACATATAAAATTTAAATCGAACGAGGCTGGTGAGCCAAAGTTATAATGGGTACACAAAAGTAGAATAAAATTATTTTGTGTAATTTACAGGTTTGGGAAAAACGGCCAATTCAAGGACTCGCATCAACCTACGAAAAACACGCACAGGGGACATATTTTGAAGAGGGTTAAAGTCGTTCATTTGCGATAAAAGTTTCCGAAATACAGGGCAGTAGTTGAGGATGTTGATGTGACCAGCTTCGAAAACTTTTTTGTTATTGATTTGAGAAATATAAGTTTTATTTAAAAAAAATGTAACAAGTGAGAAATATTACAAATTGTGAAAGGCACAGTTACCCGGTTGTGAAATACCAATTATAATATATGAAACCTCCAAATTTCAAAACAAATAGATGTGTTGCTCTAAATGAATAATTGCTGCTTTATTATATATTTATAAGAGTCAATTCTATAGGAGATCAATTTTAAAATTCCCCCAAAAGTGCCTCAAAGAAGCAGTCTTCTGGATAGAAGTTAAAAAGGTTCCTGGTGGTCTGAGATAAATTTAATCACCGTTGTCCTCTATAACGTAAAAGCCACCTCAATGGGTTGATGAGAAGGGCATCGGATGGTAAAAATAGCTGGGAGGGGCACCGTTAATATCTCGTCGGCCTCCTCTCCCGGAACGACGAAATGAAAAATAAAATACCCGGCGTAACCACATATTGTGAAGAGGCGGCCATAAATGACTGGGCATTATGTATAAACAAAGTCAGAGAGAAACAGAAATTCACCTGCACATTGTTTTAAAAATATTTTTAATCCGACCGCTCACGACTTTTTTGAATTTGAAAGGAAAGAGTATTACCTTGTGGTGGGTGTGTTAAAACCCGTCCCCTGCAAACCTCTAATGCCAATGACATTTATATAGCCTATTCTGACTAAGCTACAAATGCCACGTTAAATAGGCAGATAGAAGTTTAAAATTGTAAAAGATGACTTAAAAAAATTATCAAAATACTTTTAAGTATGTATTATTGGTAGACATGTGCGCCGTTTAAACTATCGGCGGCGGCCAGGGCAAGAAAACCTAATCGGCGCATCGCCTTTTAACCGCCGTCAACATAGGCGGCGTAAATCGGCGCATCAACATAAATTTTTTTATCATGTATATCTTTTAAATGGTTCCATGTCATTTCAGCGAATGTCGTTTATCGCGAATGAATTTTATATCGAAACTTTTATCGCGAATCCACATTAGCGAATACTTTTCCGCGAAAACATTATAGCGAAACAAATATCGCGAATTTTTCATAGCGAAACTCTTATCGCGAAACCTTTAAATCGAATACATTAGCGAAATTTTTATCATATATCAATAATCGCGAAGTCAATATGCAAAACATAAATCGCGAAGACAATATAGAGAAAACTATTTCGCGAAATATAACGCGGCCTATTATTATTATTATTTTATTTATATTTAATGTTAATATTTTATTTATCTACAAATTAACATATTATATAATATATATATTTTATTTATATTATTATATTATGAAATGATAAATGGATTTCTTTTATTTGATGTTTTTTTAATAAAAAAAATGATATGCTACTATTGTAATATTATTTTTGTTACAATTTATTAGTGAGTTTCACGACCAAAATTAAACAAAAAATATTTTTTAAGGTTCAAAAAGATTTAAAAATTTTAAATCTTTTTCGAGGAATTCTTTTGTGAATTTTATTATAAATAAACAATCTTTTAGGTGAAATCTATTATAGTTTTTTTTTATAACATTTTTGTTAAATTATTTATTTTTTAAGTAGATTAAAAGAGGTGGGTTTTCTAAATAATATTTTTATTTAACTTATTTATGTTATTTTATATGATCTTTTTAAGGAAGATAATTAAATCTGACAACTTTTATATACGTTATTGAAGATGTTCCTGGAAGAATGACAATTATAATCGGTATTTTTAAACATATTAGATTTTTTATACTGTAAAATATGTATTTTTAAACATATTAGATTTTTTATACTGTAAAATATGTATTTTTAACATGTTAAATTAAAATTTCAATTAAGATGCACCATATAAAATGGACATTTATCATAATCGTTATTTTTAAAGTTTTTTTGACGTAAATCGGCTAAAATAAATATTGTTAACATGTATTAATAAAACTTCAGTGAAGATGTACCCTAGATAAGTGACAATTGTTATAATCCTTTTTGATGCAAATGGGTAAAAATATAGATTGTAACTTGTTAAATTAAAATTTCATGAAGATGTACCACAGAAAAGTGACAATTGTAATAATAGTTATTTTTAAACTTTTTTTGACGTAAATGGGCCAAAATAAGTATTGATAACACGTTTAAATGAAGCTTCAGTGAAGATGTACCTAAGATAAGTGACAATTATCATAATCATTTTTAAAGTTTTTTGAATTTTTTTGACGCAAATGGGCAAAATATAAATTGTTAACATGTTTAAATAAAAGTGAAGATGTACCCTAGATAAGTGACAATTGTCATAATCCTTATTTTTAAAATTTTTTGACGCAAATGGGCGAAAATAGAAATTGCTAACATGATAAAATAAAAGTGAAGATGTACCATAGATAAGTGACAATTGTCATAATCGTTGTTTTTAAAGTTTTTTGATACAAATGGATAAAAATATAGATTGTAAAAATGTCAAATTAAAATTTCATGAGTGTACCATATAAAAGTGACCATTGTCATAATCGTTATTTTTAAAAGTTTTTGAAGTAAATGGGCTAAAATATGAATTGGTTAAAATAATATTTCAGTGAAGATATACCCTAGATAAATGACAATAGTCATAATCGTTATTTTTATAGTTTTTAAATTGTTTGACTACCTAATTTGAACAAAAATATAAATTGTTAACATGTTAAAATAAAATTTCAGTCGAAACAAAAAAACAAATCGATATTTTCATGCTCATAATCGTTGTTCCTTTTATCCTGCTTAAAATTTGATAAAAATATGCAAAATGATTATTAAAGATAAAAAAGAACCTTGCATTCATAGTTAGTAAATATTTTTGTATAATCGTGGTAAAATAGTGCTGAGTTTGAATTTAGGGTAGGATTTTTATAGAAAGAACTTAAAAACCATATGAATATTATTTAGTAATATGATACAATCAACATCCTATAAATTTACAGGGTAAATTAATATAATAAAAGCAAAAAATTAAAAAGATTTAACAATATGTTTTTATATTTTTATATAATACTCAAAAAATAAATGACCATCAAATATATAATGTATGACAAAACAGATTTAAAAAATGCATTAAAATTAGTGTTGTTAATCGGCTTAGCCGAGTCGGCTCGAACAGAGCTCACCCAAATTTTGGGTGGTTTTTTTCGACTCCAACTCAAAGTTTTGGTCGTTTTTTACGACTTCGACCCGAGTTCAAGCCGAAAAAAACGACTTCGACCCAAAATATGGGTCGTTTTTTTCGACTCCGACCCAAGTCCAAGCCGAAAAAAACGACCTCGACCCAAAATATGGGTCGTTTTTTACGACTCCGACTCAAAATTTGGGTTGTATTTTTCGACTCAAACTTGAAATTTGGGTCGTATTTTTCGACTCAAACTTGAAGTTAGGGTCGTATTTTTCGACTCCAACTTGAAGTTTGGGTCGTATTTTTCGACTCAAACTAGAAGTTTGGGTCGTATTTTTCGACTCCAACTTGAAGTTTAGATCGTATTTTTCAACTCCAACTCAAAGTTTGGGTCGTTTTTCTGACTCAGACTCAAACATCGGGTCGTTTTATTCAATCCGACCCAAAATATGGATCGTTTTTTTAAAGACGCCTTAAAGTTAGGGTTGCTTTTTTTCACGTAATCAAATATCTAGATCATTTTTTTCGACCAAAAGTCAAATAACATTTAGTAGATATTAATATTATAGGCGGGAAAGTTTCTTAAAGCTTCTTTAAATTATAACGCTCTGATTTAACTATTCCATCATAGTTATTTTTTAAAATAAGTAAAGATGTACCATAGAAAAGAGCCATTTGTTATGATGGTTATTTTTGAACTTTTTTAAATGAAATAGATAAAAATATATATTGTAGACATGTTAAATCAAAATTTCAGTGAAGATGTACCATAAGATAAGTGACAATTGTCATAATCGACATTTTTGAACTTTTTTGAGTTTTTTATAGCAAATTGCTAAAAATATATATTCTGAACATGTTAAATTAAAAATTCAGTGAGGATGTATCATAGATAGGTGACAATTGTCATAATCGTTATTTTTGAACTTTCTTCAATTTTTTTAAAGGAAATAGCTAAAAATATATATTCTAAACATGTTAAATTTAAAATTCAGTGAGGATATATCATATATAGGTGACAATTGTCATAATCGCTATTTTTGAACTTTTTCAAATTTTTTTAAAGGAAATAGCTAAAAATATATATTCTAAACATGTTAAATTTAAAATTCAGTGAGGATGTATCATAGATAGGTGACAATTGTCATAATCTTTATTTTTGAAATTTTTTTAAAGGAAATAGCTAAAAATATATATTCTAAACATGTTAAATTAAAAATTCAGTGAGGATGTATCATAGATAAGTGACAATTGTCATAATCGTTATTTTTGAACTTTTTTCAATTTTTTTAAAGGAAATAGCTAAAAATATATATATTCTAAACATGTTAAATTAAAAATTCAGTGAGGATGTATCATAGATAGGTGACAATTGTCATAATCGCTATTTTTGAACTTTTTTCAATTTTTTTAAAGGAAATAGCTAAAAATATATATTCTAAACATGTTAAATTTAAAATTCAGTGAGGATGTATCATAGATAGGTGACAATTGTCATAATCGCTATTTTTGAACTTTTTCAAATTTTTTTAAAGGAAATAGCTAAAAAAATATATCCTAAACATGTTAAATTAAAATATCAGTGAGGATGTATCACAGATAGGTGACAATTGTCATAATCTTTATTTTTGAACTTTTTTCAATTTTTTTAAAGGAAATAGCTAAAAATATATATTCTAAACATGTTAAATTTAAAATTCAGTGAGGATGTATCATAGATAGGTGACAATTGTCATAATCGCTATTTTTGAACTTTTTCAAATTTTTTTAAAGGAAATAGCTAAAAAAATATATCCTAAACATGTTAAATTAAAATATCAGTGAGGATGTATCACAGATAGGTGACAATTGTCATAATCTTTATTTTTGAACTTTT